ATTATTATTATTATTATTATTATTATTTTAGGACCAGATTTGGAGTTCAGCATGCATGATGGGACAATCAGAGACCTTGCTTTTATGGAAGGCCCAGAAAGTGGTGGGGCTATTTTAATAAGTGCTGGAGCAGGGGACTGTAATATTTACACAACAGACTGTCAGCGAGGACAAGGCCTGCATGCTCTAAGTGGTCACACTGGTATGTATGTTGTTGCTTCTCTCACACTTTTAAAGTCTTTATTATATTCTAATAACACTGTTGCTTTTTTTATGTCTTTGTGTTTTTCTTTCTAGCAAGACTTTTTTTTTTTCTCTCTCCAAATTGCTCTTGAGGTATTTGGGTGGGGGTGCTTGTTTTTAAATATATTGGCCGTTAATTTAACGGAGAGAGTGCATTCTTCATTCCAGAGAAGATGCAAAGCTGGGTATTGCCATACACTGTTGGCATTTTAGGTCATGCAATATGCAAGTTTTCTGTAGGATTGTTAAATCTCTGCATGAAAAAATGTAATCAGAACTGTCATATTTCATTATTGGATTAATTATTTTTGATCAAATAAGTCATCTTGTTCACAGGTCATATTTTAGCACTTTATACATGGAGTGGCTGGATGATTGCATCTGGATCCCAAGACAAGACTGTAAGATTCTGGGATCTGAGAGTACCAAGCTGCGTTCGTGTTGTGGGAACAACGTTTCATGGAACAGGTAAGACTGTCAGTCTTGCATAAAAATATACTTTAAAGATGTCTGAGTAGTATAGAGTGAATGCAAGAGTTTTTTGCATCACAGAACGGAGGCTTGGCTTAAAAAGAAGTTGTGAAGCTATCTTTACCTGTGTGTTGTTTGTTGTTTTTTAAAGTAACATTCCTTTCAAAAATCAGCTAGGTTTTTTTTGCCTTGTGTCTTTCAAAGAGACACTTCCAAGCACAGTAAAATAAAAGAAGACATAACTTTCAGAATCAAAGGAAGGAGCAGCCATTTTTGCAAGCCATCAGCTTACTCTAGGAATCTGCAAAAGGATTCTTAAGAACCACCTTGGGTTTGGATTTGTTTCTTGAAGCCTTTTAGGGGAGGCCATAAATTAGAACTGGGGGGAGGAATTCCTTGCAATCTACATGATTTCATGAGGAGTGACATTCTTTCATGTGATGGAACATATACTTTTTCTCATGCAGTTTTAATAGTGGCCTTGCTACCCTTCAAGTGTGACTAATGGCTTCAGTTTCCAGTGCTAGAATATACAGTTTTTCTTATTTTTAAGTAACAGTAGCTAGATATGTTCACCTTAAATTTAAGGCCAGCATTTGGTATTCTTACACAATGTATATTATTGTTAAAAAAAGAAAAGTTGGCTATTTGCTATTACCTAAATATAATGTGTGTGTGTGGTGGTGGTTTTTTGTTGTTTTTTTTTTTTTTTTTAATCCTGTAGGAAGTGCTGTAGCCTCAGTAGCTGTTGATCCTAGTGGTCGTCTCTTGGCTACGGGACAAGAGGACTCTAGCTGCATGTTGTACGATATTCGAGGAGGACGAATGGTGCAGAGCTATCATCCTCATTCCAGTGATGTTCGTTCTGTTCGCTTCTCTCCAGGGGCACACTACCTGCTTACAGGATCTTATGATATGAAAATAAAGGTGACAGACTTGCAAGGTAACCTACTACAAAGGATACTAGGTTAATTCTCAGTTTGGTGCCTTTAATGGTGAAGATGTAGGAGAAGTTGGTTCAAAGATCAGGTTTTTGTTTAAAAGGGGAAAAAATTGCAGAGCTTTGAAGGGTTTGAAATGTTTTAAAATGTGATTGTGTCTGTTCACAATTGACTAGATGTGCTGCTAAGAATGTAGGCTATGAACAAAATCTAGTTTTTGGGGGAGAGTCTGATTATGATAAAAGAACTAATTAACACTTCCTGATGACATGGCCACTGCTTTCAGGCATCGTTCATAAAACTGACCCTTTAAAAAAAAAGAAAAAAGTATAATACTCATGCTGCTTACTTTTATTGGGAAGTTAAGAAGAGAGAATATACTGGGTATATCTAACAGACTTGGTTTTCTTGGGACGTTACATTTTAATCACATTGTTTAAAAACTGTGAATACCTGTAGTTTAAAGTTGTACTGTGTTCACTAATGCCTAAAAACCAAAACACTGGGGACTTGTGTTATGCTCTGTGTGTGAGAGGGTCAAGTATGCTTCATAAGGTGAAACAGGTATGTAAGCTTTACTAAACAGAAAAAAAACCCCAAAAAACAAACAACCAGCCCACCACTAAAAAACCCACCCCCAGAAAAGCAAAGAACCCAACACGAGAGACGTGGACCTGTTAGAACGAGTCCAGAGGAGGCCATGAGGATCATCCGTGGGCTGGAGCACCTCTCCTATGAGGACAGGCTGAGAGAGTTGGGGCTGTTCAGCCTAGAGAAGAGAAGGCTCCAGGGAGATCTTATAGCGGCCTCCCAGTACCTGAAGGGGCCACAAGAAAGCTGTGGAGGGACTTTTCATAAGGGCAGTTAATGACAGAACAAGGGGAAATGGCTTTAAGCTGGAAGAGGGGAGGTTTAGATTAGATATTAGGAAGAAATTCTTGACGGTGAGGGTGGTCAGACACTGGAACAGGTTGCCCAGAGAAGCTCTGGATGCCCCCTCCCTGGAAGTGTTCAAGGCCAGGTTGGATGAGGCTTTGAGCAACCTGGTCTAGTGGAAGGTGTCCCTGCTGATGGCAGGGAGGTTGGAACTGGATGAGCTTTAAGGTACCTTCCAACCCAAACCATTCTATGATTCTATGATATAAATTCATTAGATGACTAATGACTTCTGTTTTTCTGCCATAGGAGACCTCACAAAGCAGCTTCCTCTTATGGTGGTAGGAGAGCACAAGGACAAAGTTATTCAATGCAGATGGCATACACAAGATCTTTCCTTCTTGTCATCTTCTGCAGACAGAACTGTAACCCTTTGGACCTACAACGGCTAGAGTGCAAAGGCAACCTATGCAGCTAAAGCACAGAGACCTGAGACTACAGAACTGTAAAAACAAAGTAATAATAATTAGGCATTGAGAGAGCAGCAGCTGAGCAGGAGAGTGTCATGTCAAAAGAAGGGGCACTTGTCACAGATTTTTCTGGTTTCTAGGAGGTCTTGGTGTTTTTAGTATATTCTTTTGCAGTGCTTTCAGTCTTCCATGTGAACTCATGCTGCTGTGACCTATTGTAGTCTTGTTGCCAAAGTCCATGAGGAGAACTCTTATGTTGTCGATGTGCACTCAAAGTAAGATGAATGATGTGTTTACAGTTTGGTATTAATTGCATTCCTTGGTCTTTGCCTCAATGAGAATTTTATATAGAAACTTAAGTTGAGCAACACTTTAATCAAGTCTGTATGTAACCAGTTATACACACACACATAAAAGATCAATTACTTCCACTGTTTTTTCAGATTTATTATATTCATCACTTTTCAATAAGACGTCAAACTTTATAACATCTCCACAATTTCAACTTTTTTAGTAATGAATTCTGAACTTTAAAGGTGAGTAGGGAGTAACCTTCTCTTGATTATGGTCCATTATATAGTGTGGATTTTTTTCTTTATTTTCATCTAAACTGGGGGAAATGTTGCTGTTTTTACTACATGGCATTGTTTTGAACAAACTAACATGTTGGAGGGGAAAAAAGGGGTTTTTTGGTTTTTTTGCTGTAGAAACATAATATTTTACTTTTTGAATGCAACAGAATACCTCTGTGTATAATGTACTGTAGAAAGAGTGAATTGGCAGCAGTTGTCACAGTGAGCTATCAGTTTTTTCAAGTATAAGGGATACCATTAATGCTATAATAGAAACCAGCATGGCTTAAAATGCTATGTCTGCATGATAATTTAAGAATTGAATTGTTAAAATTCCCAGTTCAGAAGCTTATCTGAATTTTATTTCTTGCACTGTTTATGTATGGGAAATTGTAGTTTTATTTCTACAAAACTTTAGATTCTAATGTTTATGTATTGTTATATTTTCATATTGTACAGTTCCTTTTACTTTTTAAAATATAAACATTAGGTTATTTATTTATTTGAACTGCAGTTAAGTTTTGGATTCTCTTGGTTACTAAATTATACGTGCACTGTAGCAAGCATTTTTAACTATCGTATAAAAGTGGAAAGGTAACTATAGAAGTGTATCTGTGCTATAATCTCAATAAAGACCTCCAACACCTGCAGCTTTGGGTTCTGGGTTTGTAATTCCTCCGTGTAACTGGTATTTCAACCATACGTCAAAATCTGTTGTATGCCCAGACCTGTAAAAGGCTTGAGCTCCTTGGTAGCAGTTCCAGGTACCTGACGGTGCAGTGTGGTACGTAACAATACAGTAGCACAGAGCTGAAGGTCTGTTTATTTTTCTGTGTTGGACATACAGGTTAAGGTCCTCGTGCTGCTTTGGAGGAAAATAGGACGTGACTGTTCTGTTCTTTTAATTGTCTGTCGTCAAAGCTGGCAGACTATTGCTCATTAGCACTACACATTCCTGAAATTAATTTTATTACAACTTGTGTGTTTACAGAGAGGATCTAGGTTTACATCCGTCGGTTTACGTCCCAGCCTGTTGTGAGTCTGAGCCGTTCTGGTGTGGGAGCTCCCGCCCCTTGCAGGGCCTGAGGGGAAGGCTTGTTCCTCCGCCTCTGCCTGTGCGGGAGGAGAAAGGGGAGGCGGTTCGGCGGAGGGAATGGCTGCCGCTCTGCCCGCCTTGCCCCGGGGGG